GCAACCACTAGGTAGAATCGAGCATTTGAATAGATCCGGTCCCCATGCTCAGAGGTTCTCCGCCCTCGAGTACACTCCTTATCCCTGAGCCAGAGTAGGCGTGGCATTTGAACATGGCACGGAATTGGTTACTCGTGGAATATTCCAGTCTGGGACAACTGTCATCTTGTTCTGTGTTGGACAGAGACACGACAACAATTGTGTCAAGATGAAAATATCTCACCAGAAGCATAGACAGGTTAAGTTGAAACATGCCACGCCTACCCGATCTCAGGGATTTCGAGTATAGAGTCTGTCAATAAGTGAGACTTACCGTAATCTTTGACCGAAAATTCTACTCCATACGTTAGGTCCGGATCCTGTACTGGCATAGGTCTAGCGACTATACGCCACTGGCCATAGAACAGATGTTTTGGCAGAACAAATGTTAGGGCTATGTAGCCATCAGATGTTCGATTTTGCTTCCGAACAAGATCGAAACCATGCGGATTCTAGAACAGAATAATATAGAACAAATTAGGAGGAGACTCAGTCCCAACTTTGAAATGATTTTTTGAAATGGAAGTCGATTGATGAACCCAAAAGCACACTCCACAATGATTACATGGCGAAATTTTTCGGCTGTCTTTTCTTCCTTAGTGATAAGCTCTTAATTTTGTAATTTTAGAGGTGATATCTACTGTTGAGAAGCAGCAAGGTGCATAAGTGGTAGCGCCATGTTCTGTAGGGGCGGTGTCAGAAGGTAGGAATGAGCCCGCCCCCAGCTACCCTGCTCTACCAATGACGATCGGTTAGAGTCGATTCAGGAAGAAAACGACCAGTGGTGGAAACGCCTCATTCTTTTCCACTCGGAACTCCACCACCGACGGATTGCGACGATATCAACTGTAAGTGACTGAGCCTATGCGATCAGTATGCAATGTATTTTTGGAAAGGAATTCTCAAAAAAATCAAAAGTTGAAGTGCACTCTCACCATTAGCGCGAATTCAACGATACCATCAAAGACACTACCCTCATATGTTAATGGGAGTGCTCGAATCGAAACTGAAAGCAATGAAATTTCATGAAACAGGATTTCCAACAACTAATGAGTAAGCATAGGATAAAGGCACAAGTGCAACGGTTCTCAGGTATTCATTATACCCCGAAATTAAAAGAGAAAACAACCCAAAACGGGTCAGGAAAAAACGTTTGAACAGATTTATTACCTGTTTCTCCAGGAGAGTATATCGGTTTATCGGTGTGAATATGAATTATGGCAACGTTCGGCCTCACTCTAATTTCATGTTCAAATTTGTCGTGGCCCTGGATATTGATAGATACTTTGGCCTTTTTGATAGTATCATGTAAATGAAATGAGACGGTGTGAGCAGCTCCTGCAAGTCAGTGGTTTCATGGAAATGACCAGCATTCAAAAGGGTTTTTTCAAGGGCATTCCTATTTGTCAAGTATGACTGCCCTTTGAAAAAACTGAACTGAAATCAATTGTCTACCTGCCCTCTTGACCCTGAGCTTTTGATTGAGTACAGTAGAAGAAGTTGAGTCCTCCTTCAAACCCGTAATTACAACGT